ACGGCTAAAATTTTGATTAAAATTTCTCCCAAACAGGGCTTTAGGCTATGTTTGGTATCAATTCTCATTTTCAACAGTAAATCAATTCTCATTTTCAACCACACATTTTTCAATAAAATAATATTTTCTATCACATCCATAATCTTATCTTCTTTTTCAACCATACATTTCCCATCATATCACTATTCAAAATCAATTCTTCCCCCAAAAAATCCCTACCAAACACACACTTAATACGTTAAATTATAATTAAACATGACGATTGACATAAGTCTCATGGTGAACAGTCGAACACGTCAATTTATTCCCGCGAGGTAAGTGTGACACATAATGTATAAAAAAACATTACTGTGTGATGCAAAATTCAAATGCCTGAACAAGATTACTTATTTTGTGGTTATCTATAAACAATAAAAATAGTTGGAAGGCAACATTTTCAAGTTATTAGTCACATGGCTCTGTCCCTTGTAGCTTCAGTATTTTTATTCTAATTATAATTATAATTATAGAGTACATGATTGCACGACCGGCGGTGACGTTGGCTTTTCAAAATTTCGTGCATAATCCATGATCAAGATTAGCAATTCATTAGCCATTAATCACCAATAAATTAGAGAGCAGCTGGGAGTTGTTAATTATCAAGATATAAATTCTACATCGATTAAATATCGAAATATAGATCAATATATAAGAGATTGAACCACTCATCTTAATAAGATTAACATTTTAAGATGAAATCTCAAATTTTAATACAGTATCAAAATTCATGAAACTACAACGATCAAATTATGACAAAGTTCTAGGTTTACAAACATAAATCCAAACGAGAGAAAATTGTAATTCACAAGAAAAGTAATAGCTTCCAAAATTCAATATGTTTATTCAGAAAATAAGAGTCTTTAAATAGTATCTGGAAACTCTAATTTAAGCAAAAGACCAAAATAGACAACCACTAAATCAAAGCAACTAAAACCGAAAAAACCAAAAATAACGCTAAAACTTTGACTACATGGTAACACGCCTTACTGCGAATTTGAGGCTGAAAACGACATCAACCGGGTAAACCTAAGTTGGGACGGTATGGAAAGTTGAGAGACATTTCTAAAAACATATTATAATAGAAAATCTGACACTGGTGCAAAAAGTTATGCTTGTTTCTTCGGAACAGCTCTTTTAGACAATTTTCGGTCCAATTCTTCTTCAAACTCTAACGCCAATTGTCCTACATCAAATTAAGATTCAAAAACAATGACACGAATTTCAAGATTGCTGTACTCAAACGAGCAATCATCTTGTACAAGCATGTTAAGGGATAAATTTCATATAGATTAAATTTTGAAATATAGACCAACGTATAAGAATTTGAGCTATGATTCTTAATAAAGTTGACATTTTAACCCAAGTCTTAATATTAATCGATACTAGAATTTAACTTCTTTACTTCTTCTGCTTAGCCTAAATCAAATCATCCAAGTTATGTAAAAGTTTAATGAAAATGCCTGTCCATTTTGCTGGTTGTTAGCACGTATATGTCCAAATACTGCCGTTACCAGTGGCCATTCGGATCTTATCAGCATGGCATCAAATATTATCCTTTGAACTGCTAATTAATGTATGTCAACTAGTATTTGTTGGACATGATCGATAAGATTCGACATGCTTTCTGGTTAGGGGAATTGTCACTATAAGCTTGATCCGACAACTTTTTTATTTCCTCTAGTCTATTGATTATGCAAAAAATTATTAAAAATAAGATAAATTTGTTTAAGGTCACTTAGCATTGTACAGTACTGGACGTTGACCTATTAAATAACGTTAATAATCATTTTTAATTTATCTTAAGCAAGTAAAAGTAGTATTATATGATTCATTAATAACTATAGTCATGATATCTATTATCATAGTTCAATGAATTATATAAATTACGTGTTTCCTTAATCTCGTGCTTATGCGGATTCTGTTGAGATCGTCACTTTCTTTTCCGGCCATTGTTTGATAAATAATCCAAAATTAAGATTAATTATATAAATTAAATTATTTTTTTGAAGCGCTTAATATAAACACCTCACATGCAATAAAACAAGATGTGATTTTTGCATAAAATGAGTTTAATAAACATAATATTTAATCAATTTATTATTATAAATTTAGGTCAAAGATGACGTCATGGAATGTGGACTACAACATAAGGTCCATAAAATTAAGCAACACATGCAAATGTATTGTCAAGTATCACACAACACATTATATTATTTTGCTCTTTAAATTACAATATGAAATTATTCTTGTTTTCATATAAATAAATGTTAACACCTAATAAAATATATAAACCAATCTACATAATCAACCCTTCCAAAAGAAGTTCAACCATTGCAATGATATCCATGCTCTTGTTTGGTGTAGCTAAAAATTAGATTTTCAGTTGATTTTTATCATTCGACCATTGCAAAGATATCTATGATCTTGCTTGGTGTAGCTAAGAATACAAGTTTTAGTTGACTTTAATAAAAGTTAATGCAATATATGGTTGAAAAGTTAACTCATTTTTTACTGTACATTCTTTCATAAAATAATGCTACACGTAAATTCATAACTTCTTTTAACCACACATTCGTCAAAAAATCATTATTCCAACGCCCCCCTCCCCCTAAGAAAAAAAATCTCATTTTAGTAGAGCCCAACCAAAAGTAAGAATGAACGACAATTCAAATATTGAACTACACATACTTTGTGTAACTCAAATAATCAAGAGTATAATTATAACTCACGTTAGCATATTTTTTCTTAACAATAATGTGATATCGATACAAGTACTCCTAAGGACCTAATCCTACTCGCGTTAGCATATTTTTTCTTAACAATAATGTGATATCGATACAAGTACTCCTAAGGACCTAATCCTAATAAACCATGATTACAAACAACATAGGTTATGTCGTCCC